GTCGTGAAGCTAATCGCCTGTTTCAATTCGTAGATTCTATGGAGAAGAGCTGGCAACACACTCCAAGTGGAAACTTTGGCAATATATTACTTTTGTACAATCTACTAGTAACATTGTAAGTATACAATAAGCACTCGTCAATAAAGAAACTAATTTTTTGAGTCTCTCATCTTGTTGTGAGTAGATTTTTTGAAGTCGGTTTTTTGTAACATTTTTTTTATCTTAAAGCCCTGCAATTAAATTATAACTAACTCCATAACGACATATACTAATTTCCATCATATAAAAAAATAAAAATGCTTTCACTAAACGTAATTATTATTATTGTGATAAAGGGCTAAACATGCAGTCTATAAATTACAGTTCATACTTTTAAAATTATATAATATATATACATATATATAATAGTTGCTATGCTCACGAAAATGACGAGAGATTAAGAAAAAATTGTTTGCTACCTTCGTCTGATGATAGGGATACATTACATAGCATTATTTTTATATAATATACTAAGTTATTTTAGTTTTCAGAGTAGTATAGTTTGTGGCAAGGATATCAAATTGCAATACAATAAAATAAAATAAAAAAATATTTTTAATTCTATTTTTGGACCGTTTGCTCATTACGAGTCCATTAAGCTGATAAATAAATGATTAATTACAACACAAGTTTAATTGTTATCCTAATTCAAAAATAATTGAATAAATTTCTAAACAACTATTAAAAGCAATTTGAACAAAGAAAACAAGCGAGTCTATGGTGTAGTCACATATGTGTAATATCTGCCATCTCACGGTCAACTCTAGCACCGCGCAAGCTGGTCAAACAGCGTGCTCTTCCCCCACTTCGTGTTACACATTTCCGTCCCTGACTGTCACAGATAGCAGAAAAGCGAGAGGAAAGACGTTACATGTATAGTCTAACATTTATGATAAAGAAAAATTACTTGATTCTTTAACTATTATATCTAATATTGAATTTTGTTCTATAAGGTATAAAAATCAAAACAAAAATCTATAACGCAATTCGATTAAATATTTACAAAACCAAAGGCTATTATGACTTTATATGAAAATGGTTATTTAAGCTAATAAACCTAAAAAACATGGGGTAGCTCCAACTTATCCTGTTGTTTTTTTTTATTATTAATATAAAATAATTTTTCAAACTATAAATAGTAACTAAGTCCAGCCACGATAAATAACAAACGGTCATACATTTTGAACGCGATATAAAAACAATTATAATTAAATCTAAGTATGTATATATCTATATAAAATAATTATAAATTACTGATATTTTATACCTATATTATATTTGCAACTAATTATCAAACAAAATATTAATTATATAACACAGAAGTACTCACTTTAATACTAGTAGTCCGAACTAAGCATTAGAATGATAAGTCTTAGTTCAAGTAGTAATTTCAAGTTTAAATACTTAGTACACACTTTAAATGTATATACATACACGCCTATAATCCTGAAAGAGTAGACACAGCCGTATGAAAATGCAATTTTTTGATGACTATAATTTTACTTCCAAATACGCACAAGCGTATTTAAACGGATTTAAAACTGTGAAATGGGCAAGAATTGGGGTTTTCTTTATAAGGATGAATTGGGGAGGCAGGTCAGAGTGACGAACCTGTAACTCTCACTAGCTGTTTTCGGAAAGTAAAAGCTCAAATGGTAGAAAAGGTTGTTTTAAAGAAAGTCCACGTCTAAATGGTAGAAAAGGGATATTCCTTTTCTACCATTGAATTACCTACTTACATTCTTTTTTTGTAGTCAATTAATTTATCTATAACTCCTAAAATGCCCAGTTGACGGCAATAGCCTTGTCTTAATTATGTCTTTTGTTACACAATTTACTAACTATAATGTAACTTCCCTGCTTACCCCTTCAGAGATACAGGCTTAAGTGTATACGATGTAATGAAAAATTTAAAGATTTCTACTCGAGATCATTTCGTTAAAAATTCAAAAATTAAATCAATTTTTTTTAGTCGTTTCTAGTCCGACATGATCACCCCACCGGTGGGTGGTATCCGAGGGGATTTCCGCACAGAAAAAGAACAAGGTGTATCCGCAAAAAACATTATAGTCTTTTCGCGTTAAGAAAATAGTGACATAATAGTGCCACATTGATTAAGCCCCACACCCTGATCAATTAGTTTCAGAGCTTTCGTACAAAACGGTAATTTCTTGGCACCTGATTGGTCAGGGGGCGGGGCTTGACCGATGCGTCACTATTTTCTTAATGCAAATGGGCTATAGGTGATGTTGTAATCATGAGCTTACACATTTAATACAAGACTTGATTATAGCAGTATTTAGGTAAATATTCGTTCATTTTAATTCTTTAGTTTTCTGCGTCATTCACCTCCTACAGATATTAAATTCACCGTTGGTAATTGTTCTAAAAAATTAATCAGTTATTTAAATCAAGCACATGACATGAATTTAAAGATATATAGTTTATTTTCAGTGATTATTTTATTTTTCCAAATATTATTATGTTGCGGGTAATGACACAGAAGTAAAAAGAGCGAGAATATCACCAATTTATAACAAAAAACTAGCGAGACTTTTTGTAACATGTCTGACAGCTCACATACCCTCTGACGTCAACTCTAGCACCGCGTGCTCATTGGTTAAAATTACACATTTCCGTCCCATCATTCCCACAGATTGCAACAAAGCGAACGTACCAATGTTACACATCAAAAATATTAAATTTCATAGTTTAAAATATATATTAATACTTTACTGAAATGAACTAAGACATTACACATTTATATAAAATTAAACACCTGGAATCGTCACAAATAAGTTAGTGTACCTCAATGGCAGAGGGCCTAGTATGCGTTTATTTCACATCAACTGGCTCTAGACAGCGAAGGCATTTGGCGTTGCGATTGGTGAAGATTTTATTGCGGGCCAATCGCAACGAAGAAAGCGGTCACCGTGACCATCGAATTGATGTGAAATAAACCACCACACACTAGGCCTACTAGAGTAAATTGGCTTTTCACACAATAAACATCAACACACACAAGTAGATAGTTAAGTGCAGATATTGTCACTAACCACGTTTTTTAAAAGTGATCTTCCGTGACTTCTCGAAGACTGTTAATTTTGAATATAAGCGTATTTGAATCAGTTATAATGTTACCGAATGTTTAAATTCTTTTAAGAAATGATGTTTATGTTAATTTTACTTTTGTTACACTCGAATAACGTACTGTAAATTTTTAATTGAGCATATAAAAACTTATTCCTGATTTCTTTTTTATATTCGAAACACACAGATTGATTTCTATTTTAATATTATTTTTTCATAACATTTACTAAAATAATGTAAGTTATATCTCAAAAGTATATGTGAGAGTGGATTCCATCATTTACAGAACTTAAATAACACAATTTCAAAGTCACGGTATATAATTCCCACATATATACATATAAATATTAATGATTCATTAATTTAAGTGTGCGGTTATCATATCCACAATGTATAATGTGTCATGAACTCATGACCGTGAACACTTTTGAATAAGTTTTACATGCTAGAAAGTTTTCCATTTAATTAACAGCATTCTTACACATGCTCATATTATATGCACTAACACTATCATAAACTACATTAAAAAACCACTGAGTCCTCACATCAATATTTCCTAACACTTTCCACACAATTGGAAGAAGAATTTGGCAAAAGGAGTCCTGACTCGTTACGATAAAATAGATATTTAAATTAAAAAAATCAGTCAAGTACACATTTGAGTCAATTAGTCTTAGGTGTATGTACTTATTGGTGGAATAATGTGGGTAGTATGACGGTTTTAGAAAATAATGTTGAAATTTATTAATTATGGAATGGATTTAATGGAACAATGGCATACGAGTGATGATGTGTATATGTACATATATAAATGGGCGTATGAAATGGTTAACTTTTTACATGTCATTCAGTAACCGATTCAACAAACTGTTGTCATTCCTGTGTCGATAATAGACACAGGAATGACCATCCATACAGAACACCACATATTATGGAGGGTGGGTGGGGGGGGGTTCAATTTGTGACGTCACATTCCACCCCGGGTTCCCGAAGTGAGTGAGTCCCGAAGGTAAAAGAAAGTAGCCAAAGTTATGGCGATCTCAAGTCAAAATAATGTACATATTGTATTAAATACGTCACAGATATGACCGAGCAATGTCTTTGTTGACAATGATACTTAAGATATTAACTACTATCTATCACGACGCTCACTGATAGTTAAATATTTTTACACACTACCATCACTATCCACAAAATTTCAACATTATTTTTCCAACTTATATTCTAAACTATTTTCAGTTATTTGAACTAGGTATAAAAATTACGTTCCACATAGAAAACCACACAGTGGTGCACCACTAAAAATATTTATAATTTACACAACGACTCAATGGAAATTTTAGAAGACAGTCTATATAGAAAACTTTTTGATTGTAATGTTTTGATTATAACTAGGAATTTGGCGCCTGAATATATGTTTTATTTAATAAAACTTGATTAAACACGCAACAGTAATTTACAAACACTGTGAAACCTCAAAATTTACAAAATATTTAATATATTTTGTTTTATTCACATATTATTGTAATCCATAATATAGCACTATTGACATATTATTGTAATATTCTCATATTATTGTTAATTTCTCATTTAATTTTTATATTTAATTACAATTTATATTTAAGTTACAATAGTTACAATTTTAACCTGTATTCTGTTTGATGTTGATTAAATTCGGTGTCGTATTATTGGTACGTTTAGGTTCAAAATTGCGTCATCAGTATCTTAATATCTCACACAGCTTTAACAATTGAGATATACGATACACTGAATAGAAAAATCAACCTTGACACAAGCACCGAAGCACCAAATTCCTACAATAACCAAAACTTGTTATGTTACATGAAGAACTCCCTATTTTCATGTGGTGGTCATGTGTGCCTCATCTGTGTGTTGGCATTGCCAGTTGGACTCTGGCAGTTGGGGACGTCGATGACGGTGATCTCAATGACCCGCAACCCTCGAAGTATCGGATCTGTTATGTGGATGCCTCTAGGGTTGTACACTCGTTCGTTTTGTGTCGCTATAAATTTTGATACTTTTCTCAGGTGCTGTGGAGAAGAAAACAGAAGATGATATTTTTTGTAATATTTCACATCCCATATACAAAGGTGCTAGTTTGACACCACATTGTCTGAATATAATTATATAAATGGAGGTGTAATCAAACATTTTTAAACCACGAATAACAAATCTTCTCAATCCAAAAGTAATTTATTTCAAATGTTGAAATTATTAAAACAAATTTAGCTGTTACAAAAAAAAAACAAAACTTTTTAATATGTTTTTCCATTTTACTACTGTAGATAAGTATTATCGTAAAAAACAGTGTTTGTATTTAATTTAATTAAAAAGTAAAATAGTTACAAATGTAAGGTTACAAAAAAAAAGTTCTCAATTTTTCGGCCCTAATTATCCCAGCAGTCTTCTTTACAAAGCTACATAGCTTTACGGGTTAAATTTATGTATGAAAAGAAGAATAATTATGCCATAAACACAGAATACAAAAATAAAAGTTAAATAATAACACCCATATACACTATCCTATATAAACTAATTAAAGTTTGATAAACACATTAAAGGTCGGACCGCATTTGAGCGGCGCTGTGCGTCACTGAGCTGAGCGTCGCTTCAAAATAAATAAATAATAAACATTTGGAACATCTAACACACAACGCCATCTAGTTTAAAACTAAGCAGAGCTTGTACTATGAAAGCTAGATTGACTGATAGAATACTTATTTACTTTATTTTTGTAAATACATACATAGAAAACACCCAAAACCCAGAAACGGAAGAAGTGAGCAGTCTGAGTGCCACGCCGCTGCACAGCAGGTCACGGCGCTGGGCATCAAAATATTCTCCCGGAGGCATTTATGCTGCGACCAATGCAACGCCGCTTTAATGCGACATACACTATACAAAATGACTAAAAGAATATTTTGACGCGTTGTGCCGCGCAGTGACGCTTTGTGACATTTTGTGTCAATCTATCATACCACTGACAGAATGACATGACACGTCAATGTGTCACGTTTCCAACCACGCGTGTGTCAAATGTTACCTATGTACAACAAAAAATATTTTATGTTGCTGTGGGTTGCACGTTTCAGAAAATAAGTGGACCCTCAGTATACACTGTGATGGACAAATGCCATCTCAGGTACTGATTCACTACTTTCGCTCTTCTAACCTTCATAAATACTATACTACAATGCAATAACATATAGTTCCCATTTTCGATAAAATGGTGATTTGACAGTTATACATTTCCATTTCAATTTCATGCATATTAGTCTAAGTAATAGGTTTTTCTTATAATCTGATAAGGCCCACAATCACGCTGGTGAAGTCACACAATATGCCAGCCGCATCACATTCGATTGGAACATAAAAACATGGGGAACGAGTGTTGATACAATAAGTTTTTTTGAAATGAACACTTCTTAAGACGCGTTGGACATTTTTGATAAACAAACAAAATAATGTATTTTATGGTTTAACAAAAAACACGTTTTTTGAGATGAGAAAAAACCGTTACGGACACCTATGTATATGTATAAGTAGATACTCGTAGATAGATAACTCTTTATTTGCACACATTTTACAAGTATCTACATATATTGGCCCCGTTTACACGAGAGTTGAGTTTGGGTTAAAATACATTGATAATATAACTATATATAATAGTATAGATCAAATTAGGAACGCATCGAAACGAAACGAACGCAACGCAAGATTTGTTTAACACCGGTTTTCTGTATATCGGCCCTGGTATCACTCCGGTCGAACCGGCCCATTCGTGTAGAAGCATTACTCTCCTAAGTTGTATTTTGTTTTCTTTTTTTTTATTCTAGTGGCCGCGACTTCATTCGGGTGGAATTTGAAATTTCAAAATTTTGTAGGGGTTTTCCGAAAGAAAAAATAGCTTAAGTCACTGCGTATATAGACACCTACCTGGTAAAATATTATCAAAATCGGTCCAGTCGTTTAGGAGATTTCCCGGAACAAACAAACAGACAAAAATATTTAAAATTGTTTTTAGGCAAAGGTATCCTAAATACCCGTGTTAGCATGAAAAAAACCTATTATTTTTGACATTACAAACAGACTTTTACAGACAATTTTATTTATTTGTATAGAAGATGTCTTATGATAATTGGATAAAAATCGTTAAAACTAATCACCCAAACATGGAAAAAAAATTGTAGGTGAACATTTTAAATAGTTAATAAATCACATCACATCATCACATCAGCAGCCTATAACAGTCCACAGCTGGACATAGGCCTCTCCTTAGAAAAGAGTTTACTGGCCTACTATACCACGCTGGCCAGACGGGTTAATATAGGGTTTGTTTCAAGTTTTCCTTCTCTTTGCAGTGCTGTTGTCCTGTTAGTTTGCTCCCTTAGTCGGCTCTTACACTTTCTTAATAAATAATTTAGTTTAATGATACCTTTTCATAATGTGTCTCCGTGCATATATAAATAAAGTAGGCTGTCAAACACGCTAGGCAACCTTCACAGTAGGTGCTGCAATCAGCCGTCTCTGCCATCTCGAAGTGTTCGTTCAGCCGGTCCATAGTGTATTCAAACAATTGCCTGTCTATCTGTAACATAATATATAAAAAAATTAATATGCAGTAACAGATCACATTCGCCTCAATGATTGAGACAAATGAAATAATTTATTTGTGTGCGTTTCTTAATTGCTAACTTTTGGAGCAAATGTCAGAGGCCCGCTGAAATCCAGTGATGTGCTTTCGACCAGCGTGAACGTGATGTTTTATAAAATGAATGACGTGTTTTTGTAATGTACCTTGTATCCGTGTATGTTTTGTAATGTACCTTGTATCCTTGTATGTTTTGTAATGTACCTTGTATCCGTGTGTGTATGCTGTATAGCAAAAATAAATGGTTTAAATAAATTATTGTAATATGCTAAATTATTTATTCCTTTTTTCGAAAAATCTATTGAATACAGGTAGAAACATTATTTTTGTATAAGCCATGGGAACATATGGGAGTGAGACCACAGCCTCATAGGAAACCTGTGTTAAGCACCGAGTGAGACTACATGAGCCCCCCAAATCCTCCTAATTCTTGGGGTGGGGAACTCAAAGATAGTAACGCAATTGTGACTCTTAGTTTCAGGTATTCATCACTCACTTGTGGTAAGTGACAAGGGACTCTTCTACTATTTCGCCTCGAAAAAAAAACCGGTCAGGTACGAGCCGAACTCGTGCGCCGTAGGTTCCGTACCTACCCAAATTTTACGTAGATTTTCGCGAAAATTTGTAAGTACCAAAATTAATCTTATATTAAACTTTTTTATTTTTTAGAATTATTCCTTTATTTGTGCTGCTTTTTGCCAAATTTCGTGATTCTGGGTCAACGGGAACTACCATACTAGGTTTTCGACCCAAAACCTGTAGGGTACTTCCGGTTGACCTAGAATTGTCAATTTTGGTTAAAAGCAAGGTCTTACAGCCCAAGTAAAGAGAAAATTCTGAAAAATAAAAAAAGTTGAAAATTAAGGTAAATATTGGTACTTACAAGTTTTTTGCGAAAATCTAAATTTGCCCATATCTTTTTATCGTGTTGACTCAGGACCTTGATTTTTATACACCTAACAGGGACCATAGACCTCAGTATCTGGTATAAATTTCAACTTGCTAGGTCTACCCGTTCCTGAGAAAATCGGTGATGACACACGGACAGACGGACAGACCAACAGACGAAAGAAAGTGATCTTATAAGGGTTCCTTTTTTACCTTAGGTTTAGGAGGTACGGAACCCGGAAAAGAAGAGAAAGGAACAATTTTACTGAAACTTAATACCAGAAATTGTTCTATAAGTAGGATAATATTTTGTCCTTATCTGTCTATCTGTTCAAGTAGGTGTTTAGATAGAGTTAGATAATATTCAATGTAGAGATATGAGAGACATTACATGCACTCATTATTCCTTTATATATTTCTAATTTAAATATTCATTACCAGCTTGATAATTTTTTACCACACTCATATCCACTTATTATTTAATACTTATTACCCGTTTTCGCCAGATGGAGGCTTTTTTCGAGTGTATGTATATTTGTTTGTATATTTCGTTGTCTCGCTCTGTAGTCCAAACTCTAAATCCATTCATTGCGGGCCAATCACAACACCGAACGTCTGTCACCGTGACGATCGAATCGATGGTACACTAGGTTACACTAGGCCTTCGGATTATTTTTGTTTAAAATCTATCTATCTGTTGTACTATATATGTCACCGTAAAATAACAAGAACCGCAAAACCTTCGTAGGATTCTAAACGAGAGAAACTTAACCTAACCGGGTTGGGGGGTAATGAGCCAGCCGACCAGCTCACAGGACTAGAGTTAGGTTAACAATTTGCGAAAATGTGGGCATAAAATAATACAATTTATATCTTGTTTAGAATCCTACGAAGGAATCAGAAACTCTGTCATATCTGAACCAGAACAATATTCAGCAACAATCCTCAGTAAACTGAACAAAAAATTTTCTAATTCTAGTTAGTATTACAAGATTTGTCCGAAATATATCATGTTCTGAACTAGTGTTGACAATGTTTTCAACATGTGTTGTAAACATTATTATTATGCTCAACAAGTTTATAATCATTGCTTTTATTCAAACAAAGTCCTTTTTGTTAAGAACTAGTATAAGAACTTGTTTTGAGTGTGATCACCAATAGTTTTGACCATGAGCTGATGTTTACCGAACGGTTGAACGGGTTGCTCAGAATTATAGCTATGAACATTCAAATACTAAAAGTACTCAAGTACTCAAATGTAACAAAATCAGTCTAGCCATTCATACATAGAATTTTCTAGCCACACAGTTACAAATACACTTTAAAATTGTAAAACCTGTCCTTTTCTTACATAGACAGAGGTCAATGGTTTGATTTCCACCCAGGAGAAATAATTTCGAGATGAGCACAATCATTCATTCTGTGTCTGGGTGTATTTCATCGGTAAAAATATTTGTCAGCAGTCTGATTACCATAGTCGGGACATACTTCGGGACAGATTGCCCATGTGTAAGGTTATTATAATTATACATACATTACGTACATAATTCACACCTCATTCGCAACCATGTTAAACACAGATTGTAGAATACCATCTCTCACATTCATCAGGCATTTCATACATGCCAGAGTATGTTTTTCAGGGCCCTCCTGATCTATATTTTTTTTTACCAACTATAAGCAGATAAGTGGTAGGTTTTGGTAGGGCGAGTGCATCCTCCTGTGAGGGCAATCACTCCTTATGTCTTCATTGCCTATATAATACTATAACACATCTATTCTTTTAAGCTGTCTTTATAGCTGCTGGTAAAAAGGTTGGCCGCAAGTGCATTCAATAGCTTTCCAACCGTTTTTGGTACTTTTCTGTGGCAGCCTGAATACCGTCTCCCACAATTTGTGATTTGAAGAGTTGGTGATGAATCACGGGATGTTTACTATTATTCATTCTACATTCTTTGTAAAATTATGACATTTGAGTTACTTGCACTCCAAAGTTGAATACTATACATCCAGGTGTGTTTTAATATAGACTTATAAATTAGAAGATAAACATGAGTAAGTTTCTAAACACGGTAACTTTCTGTGTAGTTTCAAGTAAATTTTTTATTTACAGTAATCATAGCTAATTATAAATGTAATGAGTTTAATTTTCTACATACATACACTCCGAAGAGGTAGGGAAACTTAACTTTTGCTAACATTGATTTTGGTCTGTCAAGTAAAAGGCCGCAAGTCTGTTATCGTCCAACAAACATCCAAAACTCATAATTTTCCATTAATTTGGTGTTTTTAGGAGGGAAAGATAGGTAAGAGGAGAAGGCGCCGTTAACTTCCCTTGATATTTATACTAATACATTATAAAGTGGTAAAGTTAGTGAGTTTGTTTGTTCAGCGGAATCTCCTACTGATGTGATTTTGAAAATGCTTTTACTGTTACGAAGGTATATTATCACTGAGTGCTATAGCCTACTTGTGCGTGACATGTGACATGGCAGATTTGAATCTGTGTATTTTGGCACTTCGGTGTCAATTGTATTTTTATATAATTTACGTAAATTTAAGTTGTATACTCTGTTTTAAAAAGTATATTTATAATTTATAATTATGCAACCGGTGGTTTAGCTGGTACTGAGATGACTAAACCTTCTAAGCTTTTCACATCAAGTCTTTAATAGTCCACTGCTGGACATAAGCCTCTCCATAGAAAGAATCAGAAATATTCCATGTCACTCAATTGAAATGTATACAAAATTGTTATAACCACATAAATTATCGTCGGAATTAAGTCTTTGAAACTTTTGACTACACTGCTGGTACTCCACACACTATACTTAAAATAATATCAGTTCTAATCTCCAGAGAACTATATCTTTAATATTCTTATGATGAATAAGACTTGTTCACATGAGTCGAAGATAAAAAGTAGAAGTGTATAAGATCCGCGCCCACAATCTCAAGGTTTCGAACAACATATAAACAAATCACTTTCTCTTACCCTGTCTTCCAGTTCAGGCGGGAAACGGTTTTGAAACTTCACAGCAGTACCTTCAGCATAGTCCCTCTGTATAAATATCTTTATACCTTGCTGTGGGGAGGTTTGCTGACTCCCAGGCGTATTGGGCCCAGAAGGGATACGATTATTTGACATCATTACAAACTTGCTAAACAAAGTCCATTAACACAGAAAGAAGTGTAAAGGAATGGCGTATGTTATGAACGTATCATATTTCCAGTATGCACTCCATGTAAATAGAAATACAAAGATTGTTCGTTGAGTTCTCGAAATTTACTTCCACAGAAAGTAGACTGAATGACGTGCGTCAGTGATTGACAGACAGACATCCTGTCAGCCGACATTTTATTTTAACCATTCGCCATAGACTTGATAGTTTCGTTCTGAAATAATTGATCAATTTTAGGAAAAAAAAAAATGAAAGAATTTATCGTTTTAATTAAGTATCTAGTTAAAGCAAATAATTGTTATATTTAATTATTGGTTTTAGTTTAACTTGATACTAAATTATACACCTAAAATATTGTGTACTAGCACTATTGGGTAGCAGTAGGTGGCGCGGCGCTATTTAAAAAAAAACAGATGTGCAAGGAAATAATTTCAATATTTTTTTCACGTCATTCTTATATGATGTTAAGTGACCATAGTCGCCCATAGACACCTGCAACTTAATTTATTAATTTAAATTTGTAACACATACAAGTAGTTATTTTTAGAAATAATAGTTAAACCTATCCTATAAAAGTTAGTACGTGACTAATTTGGGGTTCATGACGTTGTTGAAAATTAAATTACACGTTAGTCGATGGTACTCAGTGCTAATTCCTTCAGTCAGCCTATGAACAAACTTTTTAAAAAGATTAAATGTCTGACTAATATTGATGTAATGTAATATTGAAATGTTTAATTTTTATGTTGGTCGACAATTAAAGTGTGACCTCATTGGATAACATTGGAGTCGGTACTTGCCTATGACATCAACAGCCTTGACTAGTCCACTGATGGACATAGACCTCTCCTTAGAAAGGAGGTTTTGGCTTACTATACCACGCTGCCCAGACGAGTTAGTATAGGCATTGTTTCAAGTTTTCCTTCTCCATGCAGTGCTGTAGTTTGATTCCTTAGAGCTCGTGCAGCGTGCCAGCGATGTCGCAGCGTGAAGGCGAACAATTCATAATTTAGTTACCTATTTGGGGTTAACACTGAACATACTTATTATTCGGTTTCGTGAAGAAGAAAGAAGAGTACTTAGAGGAGAAATAGACATAGTAACAGAGCTTTTATTGTTGAAAAATTCGGGTCATCAAGAGGATGAGAAGATTTAGGGACAGTTTCGAACTGCATCTATTTTTATAATAAAATAGATATCAAAAAAGTTGTGCCACGCAGTCGCAATCCACCTCTGGTAAGTGGTCCAGTGGATACCAGTGGCCGCACGACTTGCAGCGACAAGAGTCGCGGGCACGCTGCACCGAACCGTTTAGTTCTATACATTCTATCGGTGCGTCTTCGGTCGCGCCGCCTCGCCGCACGCTGCACAAGCCCATAAGCGGCTCTTATGACACCCACGGGATGACTAGAGCCCTACCTATATGATACAAAAATCACATCGTCAACAGTCTGTACTAGACCACTGCTGGCCGTAGGCCTCTTCTTATAAAGGAGGTGTTAGCCTACTAAACCGGTCTATACCATATACATATACTAAACCGGTATATACTATATGGTCAGACGGGTTGGTTTTCCTTCTCTTTACAGTGATGTTGTCCTGAGTAATTTGCTCCCCTAGTCGACTTCACGACACATACGGTATTCTCAAGCCGTCATCAAACGGACACTGTCTCAATCCGTACAAAAATATCCAATCTAAAGAAGTTGGGTTTGAACCGTCCACGTTGAAATTTAATGCACTAGGCTGATTACTTTGTGTAATGGTGACCACTATTACTTACACAAACTTATGATATCAAAATCCGCTATTGATTAAGTTCGACGGCAAAGTTATTCAGGACGATTTCGCTCGCTACGATCACAGCATATTAATAAAGCGATAGTTTGGTGTCTACTACTTGTATCAATTAAACAACGTCATCGTGTTGCCATATATAATAATTCATTTTCTATTTTAATTTCTAAACGAAGGCGAGCCTAATTTTATAGGTGGGTTGCACCGCCTTCTTTAATTCTGTGGTTAGGATTTTCTTTTTAAGATGTTATGTACTATTTTGTTTGGTTCAATGGCGGATTTACCAACAGGCTGAGTAGGCTGAAGCCTAGGGCGGCAAATTTATAGTAAGCCTCGCTAGCTTCAAAAACTTAACAAAAATAACAATATTTTAGTACTATATAGTGACCCGAATACTCCAACATTTGAAAATTTAAAAAATCCCAAACGAAATGTGGATTTTTAAATATTCCAATAGCAGTTTAATACTATAATTTCAATTAGTGATGAAATTAATTTAAATTGCCCAGGCGGGACTCAATTCACTCCTAGTTACCGACTTCAGGTGGGAAGCAGCCGTGTCCGGAAAAGATCTGCGCCATTCCGAAGGAAAGAGTCCCGTGCTGACGCTCTATCCACTCGACAATGACAGGCTGTAGTGCCTCCACGGCGGCAAAGTCAGCACGTGGATTTTTAGGATCACGCAAAGTGTTGTCCCATGTCGGGATCGAGCCCACAACAATCAGCGTAACAGGAAGCGGCGTGGCGTGTTGACCGCTTAAACCACTACGGAATCCGTGTGATGTCGGGTCACGATATATTACATGGACCTTTTTTTTTTGACGGCGTGAAAATTCCCTTCGGATCTCCTGCTCCTTGGGGACTCAGGAGCCAGGGGTATGTGGTGATTCCACTAAAAACCACCCCGACGGCCGGCCTCAAGTGCCCTACTCTGGGAGGACCTGGACCAATATTACATGGACCTAATGTAGTTTGAATGATATAATATATGCCAGTATCTTTTTTTAAAATTTTTACTATCGATTGTCACTACTAAAGTACTTTAAAAAAAATGTGAATTTCTACTCTAAAACCAGACAAAACATTTCCTTCCCCCTTAATTCAGAAGCCTACATATATCAGTCTTAATGTTCCATATGTATGCAGACGCAGTATGTCTGTACGTCCAAATGAGCTGTCAATGAAAGTGTGTGCCAGTCGAACCTGTATCTAGGGCTCTGGGTAACTCAGTTTCACGGCCTTCTATGTCTAATTTAATTAAAAATAAAAGAGAAATAATGATGTCAAGACATTTATGATGTAAGGTAGAAATTAATCTGTCTTTTCTTTTCCAAAAGTGATTTAACCTCGACCCTGTTCATCAATCATCAAAGATAAACTACGTACGTGGGACGAGGTCGTGGGTTCAATTTCTAAATGCAAATACAAGTGTCCTGTCCGTGTGGTGACGGATTAAAAATACGGAGTGTCACCACCCTTATTCATCCCGTGGGTGTTGTAAGAGCCGACTAAGGGAGCAAACTACGCAGGACAACATAACTGTAAAGAGAAGGAAAACTTGGAAGAAACCCTATACCCATCCGAATGCCAGCGTGTTATAGTAGGCCAAAACCTTCTTCAGTATTGGACTATTATAGGCTGTTGATTTAGAATCCTATACAGGTATATTTTTTAATGATATAGAGGTAAATGACCTGAAAGATCGGGGGATAATAAGTGACTACACATGCTGTTCCAGAGGAGGAGGAGAGGTGATAAGTACGTTGGCGGTCTTTGAGGTTCCCTACCATCGCTCTTTTCTTGAAGGTTCGAGGTAGAAGTCGAAGATCGTTTCGGCGCTAGAATACCGCAGGCGACCATTAATTCTATACTACAGATTGGAGATATGTGTTTACCTATATACAAAAATGTATCCTAATATTGTCTGTGAACGAAATCCCAAAATCTGTATGCCCCAAATTATTCTCTATTTCATTAGGTTATTATTTACTTACTAGCTGGTACCCGCGGATTCATTTATGACTGAAATTTAAAAAGCTCTGCCTTAGTGGTGTAGTACGGAATGCGACTGTAGTCCATGAGGACTCGGGTTCAATTCCCCCGAACGGCAAAAACTTTATAGGGTTATTCTGAGAGGAAAAAAAGCCTAAGTTACTGCTTACATAGACAGCTTCCTGGTAGTAAAATATCATCAAAATCAACAGACATGCAGACAAGACATATTTAAACTGATTAGGATAGTATCGTACAAATAACTAAATAATAAAGATTATAAATAACAAGGTATACTAACCGTTAAATCATAAATTGACATAACACAACCTTCTCAAAACAGCTGGCCATAGTTCCATGTCCACACCCAACTCTGGCCGTCACACTAACGGCCCACGGCTCCAATTGATGGTCGGCTCACGTCCTCAAGCATCCGTTTTGCACCAACATCTTTCACTTAAGCGTATGTTCAGAATGAAGATTGCTTGAAACGTTTGTATGTTACGTAAGGAATGCGAACAGTATTATTTTGGCTTCACTTTCTTTTATAGTCATTGACGAAAATTGTGTGGTTTGTTGTTTTGTTACGAGTATAGTCAAGCAGGAGTAGGGGAGCAAACGAGTTCTCACGACATCTACAAGACGTAGATGAACTGGGTCCGTCGGGGTACCGGGGATTTCCTTCCTAGGGTACAGATATTTCGCCGGCCACTGGTACCCGAGGTGTCGTGCGGTTTTTAGTCGACATACGAGGTCGAAATCCCCTCAAAAAAAATAATAATATAATAATAAATGTAGTAATGAATTTATATATCTTTGTTATATCTAATGTAGGTTTATCTTTTATTTACCAAACTATTAACTACGACAAATTTGATATTTTATCTTTGCAACTACCGCATCATATTTCTATATCATCCGGTCGATTGGGAGTGAATGCCTTAGGGCATTAAATCCGCCTTTGTACATGTGCATTAAGTTTAAATAAATTGAAAAAAAGGGGGAGCAAACGACGGGTAGACGTCGACGACCTGTCTACTCGTTTGTCTGGTGTCCATGGGCGACAATAGTTACTTACCATCAGATGTGATGGTGACACCTAAAACTCAGAAGCCACAAGAACTCAACTCCCTGAATTAGGGGATTGAACTTCAAAGAAAATATTGGTTAATACCGGTTCTCTGTGAGGGCATATCACTCCAGTCGAGCTGATACATTTTATGCCGAAGCATGATTCTCCAACAGTTAAAATATATGTAAGTTTAGGTTAAGTAGACTCTTAGTCTAGGTATATTAGGAATCTAATTAAATAAGTAAGTTATATATATGTACAGTACTTTTGTAAAGATAATAGTCGGCCCAGACTTCAACTATTAGACATTGTAATCGGTGTTTTCTTTCTGCTAGACTATAAACACTTACATAAATGATTGTCAACAACGCTGTTTGAATTTTAACTTGTTTACTTATGTTTTACAATTACGACTACTTCAGAAGAAACGTTTTAATTTTTGCTCTATTTTTTATGTCATCGGTGGTTGAATGGAAGGTACTTGTGGTCTTCGGATAATCTTTGCCGCCGCATTCCACAAATTTTATCCCTGTAGCTCGTCTTTGGAATGCAACTTAAATTATTTTAAACACATTTTATTATCATCAACAGCCTTAATAGTCCACTGTTGGACTTGCCTCTTCTTAGGAGGTTTTGGCCTATTATATATTTGACAAAACAGGGATTGTTGATTTTGTGTGTGTTGATCAAGAACTTTAGAGTCTACGTAAAAGACGATTTCAAACAACTTTAAAAAAATTATGAAATAAAGAGAGTTTGAGTTATACCACGCTGGCCAGACGGGTTGGTACAGGGTTTTGTTTTTAAACTTATTTATGATGTACAAAAAGGAAAATAGTATGGTATAGAACCGTCTTCATAATTACAATTTTTAGTTCATGTCTTAATTCTATTTGGGGTTGCCGGCAATACAGAACCTTGTATATAATGTGGACTTTTTACTTTATAGCCTGTCTGGAGCTAATCTTCTTTGGGAATGAAATAATAAATTGTAACAAAGTAAACGGATAGGAAGAGAGACCGAAAACCATAAGCGTCTGTTGGTGCATCGTGACTGCTGTGAGTTTGTTTCCCATAAGACCTATCACCCGTCGAAATATTAGATCCATGATTTATCAAATAAACTATAATGTAGCTTTCTTGATTCGAGCCTTTTTCTCAAACTAGGTTGAAAACAGACCTCCACAACCCAAGTTCCAAGCAATATCGAAGTTCTGTAAAAAGACTGTTGTCGGAATTTGTAGGGCTCCAACTAACTGTCCAACAGAGGACTATTAAAGGCTGATGATGTGATATGATGAACTACCGTAACGATTGCCACAGATGGTCGTATAGCAACCGGTACCGGCGACCGCTTAACATGCTCTCCGATGTACGGAGGGGTCTCAATGGGTCACCCATGCATAGACTGACCTGTCTAGGATTACTTAACATTGCAATATTAACCTACTTGGTGACCACTTAGCCAGGAGCCCTTAACCTTAGTGTCATAAAATATAATTAACAAAATTATAATGTCCGTGTGGTGACGGATTAAGAATACAGAGTGTCCCAACCCATATTCATGCCGTGGGTATCGTAAGAGGAGACTAAGGGAGCAAACTACGCAGGACAACAGCACTGCAGAGAGAAGAAAAACCCTCTTTCTCTGTGTGCCCTCTTTGCGCTTCCAGTTTAGGAGGGGTCCAGGTAGTTATCGCCTTCTGGACCCCTCCCAGCGCCAGCCCGCTCCTGGTGCGGGCTCCGTCTCCAGGACCAGAGAGAAGAAAAACCCTATACCAACCCGTCTGGCCAGCGTGGTATAGTAGGCCAAAACCTCCTTTCTAAGGAGAGGCCTATGTCCAGCAGTGGTCTAGTAAAGGCTGTTGATGAACTATAATGTAGCTTGTTAATTATATTCCATAACAATATAAAGACAGGAATGCGTTGAGATATTACGTCGGTGTTACAGTCTGACCTAGTCATTGATCTTTGCAGCGCTTTTCCGTAATAGGCACTTTATATGCGCCTTAGCCATTAACACCTGATATATGTCTGTCTGCTATCCTCTGTCATCGTTAGAAATACTTTTTTATACTATCTCTCAAAAAACTACGTATTATGAAGTAAGTAGAATAAAAGAAATAAGATTCTTTTTTTTTTACTTAAATCATCTTGATGGAATGATTTTACAAACAAAATACTCTCTTAGGAAGTTATTAAGTGCGAAATGCAGATAGCATATAGTTTATCTAACAGCAGTCTGCAAGTAATTAAAATTAAAATTCATAAAAATCTAGTCTTTATAGATTATGTCGTAGTAGATAATATAAAATGATGTTCAGAGAAAACAATGTAGATAGTCAAGCATCTACAATTTTTACACGCTTTATATTAGGTTCATTCGTATGTTTGTTTGTAACCGACTCATTTGGGCGTAAGTTTGACTGACTTTAAACGGTCAGAATTCGTTCAAACTTTGTAGATATACGAGGACCGATGATAATACACTAATTTAAAAAAAATAGTTTTTAAAAGTTTGGCTTTCTATAAAAAGCGTGTTTTTTAGCTTTTAAAACTATTTTTTTTTTCTCTGAACATCATTTAAATGGCTTATTTAAAAAACATGATACCATGTCATACCGGGGCGGGTCATAAAAGGGGCCAACTAGGCTTCTTTTGTGTGTTAAAAATTGTAATAAAGTAAACCTTTTTCATTTTGGTAAAAAGGAGTAAGTGTTTTTATCTACAGGATTATTTGTTGGGAAAGTTGGGGCTTGGAGAAAATCATCTAATTCAATACAATAAAAACTATTCATGTATATAATATAACGAATCAAAAACAATAAAAAATATCTCTCTGTCATTTTATTTAGATATTGGATGTGTAACTGTGGACTAATTTGTGATTCTATTAATAAGGAACGAAACCTTTTTGGTCACCTGACCTTTCAAATCGACTTTTAATTTCGGCTTAATTGCAATTCAGTCAAAAAATGAGATTGTTCCCCTTAAGTCCCTATTTACACATCTTAGCTGTTTAAAACTATGACATAATCAACTAATTTTCTATTATTGATTTCCCTTTGTGAATTTGAAGTCCAAGGGAAGAGGCTTAAGCAACAAAGTGATAGTTTTCCAATACAGTGTCACCACACGCACACACGTGAGTAAAATGTACCAGCTGCGTACGGACGCAGGTATCACCGAAGATAGTACTTGCGCACATTCTGATATCACGTCACGTATTAATGCTCGTATATAAACCAAGCCCAGGACTATCCTGGCATACATTGTGATCAGTTACCTGACGGCAGTAAGTCGTCTGCCGTCAAAAAATTAAATAATATATATATACAGTGAAAAAGTGCAATATGGCTAAACTATTAGTGCTTCTGTCTCTCGCGGCGTTTGCCAGTGCGAACTCTTATACCGCATCGAAATTAGTAAAAAATATTTACAACGAATGTTTAAGTCAGTATTCGGTGGAATGTGTGAAACCGAGGACCCTGCAGTGGATTTCGCAAGTGTCCAATGATGAAGAGATCAAAATTACGGATGACCTCTCCATTGTCAAGACTGCAACGATTGACGGTGATATGGAACTGGACCCTAGGATGGCCAGCGACCCTGCCTACCAGATCGTCGACAAAGTAGACAGTTTCATCCAGACGCATACACTCAAAGTGAAAGTTCCGGAGGAAATCTCAAACAGTGCTGCTTCTGCATATGTGCCGAGGTCATTATTAGCTGATCTGCCTTCTGAATTGGAAATGCCTTTAGATGGTGAAGAGGACAGTCAAGTATTCGAGGGCAGGAAGAAGAAGATCAAGCTCCCCAAGCCCTTGAGGATCAAGAGCAGTTCGTAAAATTATTACCTCTGTTTTTGAATAATTTTGCACCAGTTTTTAATATTATGTGTTTTATTACAGAACATGGTTTTATCAAGAAGGTTCTGCTGCCCTTCCTCCTCGGATTGAAGTTCAAGGCATCGGTTCTAGTCCCCTTGGCTCTTGCCCTCATCGCACTCAAGACTTGGAAGGCCCTAACTCTGGGTCTTATCTCTCTTGTCCTATCCGGTACGTTCGTTATTATTTTGTTTCAAACTGTCGTTCCATTTTCGTTTGAAATTTTTGAATTCCAACTTGAAACAAAATTTACAAATAATGATACATGTATTATGAATAAGGGTAAGATTCTAAATATCTATACTTAAATGAAAATATTTATTATCGTTTTTTGTTTCTTCTGTTTGCAGGAGCCATGGTTATCTTCAAGTTCACGAAACCTAAAGTTGTGAACTACGAAGTCATCCATTATCCTCAGCACCACGTTGAGCATCATGTGGATCACCACGCTCCTGGATGGGATGCCCATGGACCTTACCAGAGGAGTTTGGAAGACGCCCACGAAATAGCCTACTCAGGACAAATATAAGAAAATGAAACCACTAGCTTTAAAACTACGGACCTCTGACTAAGCTATTAAATTATTAATTTATTTATTGGTTGTACATAAAACTCTGTATAAATTAAGTTTCACATTTCATTGTATGTTGTTTCATTATCCTGAAAGTTACAAAACCACCACGTCTGCTGTTAGTTCATTGTCACTGATTATCGGCGCCTCTTGAAAAGAATTAGGGATTTGTCTATATTGGTTTTTATTATCATGTGGTCTATTTTCTCTATCCAGCTGTCCCATTGACGTTGGATTATGTTTAATAGAAGTGGGCAGCAACCACTGATTGACAGGTAATAATTTCGTCTTAGGTGCATTGTTCATAGGCATTTTATTATCATTACTTTTAATAATACCATATTCTTCTAAAATATTTATCCCCCCATATTTATTAGCGGGCTTGTAATCTGTTTCGATATTGTCTGGCAATACCAGATCAACTCTAAAGTCTTCTGTATCAACATTTTCTACATCATACTTAGGTTTGTCTAAAGAGTGTTTCGGTTGCTTCTTAATTAAAGGGTGTATCACATTTTCTATCTCTTTCAGTTCTTGATACTTTTTTTGGTAGTTTTTATTTTCACTTGAAGACAATACACCCGTTATGTCACCTGGAGCGAGAACGTTTTTAGCAAATTTTGAATATACTTTGGAGTGTTTTAAAGGATTTAACTTATACAAACCCAAAAGAAGATTAAATACGTCCACGCCATCTCTCCTAGGTATATTTATTGCATAAATGTAGAAGTTTTTCTCCAATATCTGAAAAGAAATTATTCTTGAAAATATGCTGCATTAACTTTTGCAGATGATCTCATTACTATTACAAACTCAATTGAGAACTTTCAGAGTTAATTTCTCTTTATTGAGCACATTGATTTCTATTGAATTCAACGACAGGAAGTGTAAATTCGCCTGGCCAGCGTGGTATAGTAGGCCAAAACCTCCTTTCTAAGGAGAGGCTTATGTCCAGCAGTGGACTATTAAAGGCTGTTGATGTGTGTGAAGTGTAAATTAGTCCATCGTTTCTAACACTTAATCACGTCTCCAAAAATATTTATGTATATTTGTGACCGTATTACTCCTGAATATATAATAAGAGAAAAACTTCTTAACGATTTAGCATTCCGTAAGTGTTGTCAACGACTGAGTGAAAAGCATCACAATGTGCCAAGTATTCGCACATTAAGTGTGATTTAAATATGTATGATTATTTATTCATTCTAGGTAGTACTAATGTAAAGAAGGTGACAGTTGACTACAAGGATTTGAGTTCAATAGTAACAATAATAATTTGTGTTTAATACTGTGTTTTCGACTTTAACAATTTATGAAGTATATAATAGTATCATCGCAGTCCTCTGTTGTGCCTTTTAAGGTCTACTAAGGATGTCAGCTGGGTTTTAATTATGTACTATGACAATTTCAGGGTAGTGGATATAGTTTAGCCCTTTTTATACCGCTACTTAAACCGGTAATGCACAAGGAAAGTTATTCTTTGGGGGTGACGGCAAATCTGACAATAAATTGAGGTGATAGCCAAGAACTTATATGAACATTCAACTGTATTTGCACATATTATTCGTCAACCTCTCTTAAGTTATAAACAAAAATCTAAAAAGGTAAGGTAAAAACCAACTGAAGCAACTCATCCCTGCGAATTCTATTCGACAATGTACATTCCTCAACTCCAAACAAAGAAAATTGGTTGAATAGACCAGCTGGATAGACTCGGTATATTATTTAAAATAAATACATAGCACGACAAAAATACATTATACGTAACTAGCTGACCCGCGCAACTTCGTCTGCGTCTCTCAATAGTAATAAATTTTCTCCGTTTTTGAAACATTATTCATTGGTGCTCCGCTCCTATTGGTCTTAGCGTGATGATATATAACCTATAGCCTTCCTCGATAAATGGGCTATCTAACACTGAAAGAATTTTTCAAATCAGACCAGTAGTTCCTGAGATTAGCGCGTTCAAACAAACAAACAAACAAACAAACTCTTCAGCTTTATAATATTAGTATAGATATTGGATGTTGTATTCAAACTAGCCTTTTCCGCGTTAATGTTGGTTATCGCGGTAAAAAGCCTATATCTTGCCTCAAGAATCAAAGTCTCCCCATGCTAAATTTCATTAAAATCGGTTCAGCGGTTATTGATTTCACATACAAACCACCCCTCTTTTCACCCCCTTAAAGAGTGATCTCTAGGATAAAAACTACCCTATGTCCTTTCTCGGGACTTAAGTTATTGCTATACCAAATTTCATCTACATCGGACATCTATCTAGACAGACACACTCGCATTTATAATATCAAGTGAAGAATTTACCAAAGAACACAAAGTGTTTATAAGTAATTTCAAATTTATATCAAGAAATATGCCTTACCACATTCACTATAACGGTCACCACGAGCCCATAACGATAGTGTATAAGTTCAAACATTTTGAGCGATATTCTTGCGTAACAGGTGGACACAATCTTTGCTTACAAAATTGTTTACAAACTTTATTACAGTTGTTTAAACAACTAACCCTACTTTTACCTTTCAAAAACATTTAGAACCTTTCATGAGAATAGTTTTATCCCGCGGTTCCGCTTGGTTTAATGTAGATTTTGTCAAGCCTTTCGACAATGTTCGCGTTGTGGTTTTTTATCCCTAACATCTTGGGTTTGGATTATACTAGATAAACAAAATTCTCGGGATATGATATGATTGCACGGATGACACAGAGCGGTCACCTCGTAGCTTACTACTACACTGAGTGTTAAGGGTCCGATCCTCCATGGGACGACACTTTGTGTGATCCACAAATTGTTGTTCTGAGTCTGGGTGTTCTTTGTGTCAATTTCATGTATGTTTGTAAAGTCCCCAGGACAGGATATAATCCTAATAGTTGTCTCTTTAAAAGAAAATAAAGAAAAGTAAACGAAAGATATCAATAAACTACACCTTATTCAAAATGTGTGGCTTGACCATTTTGCTGCCGTCACATGGGCGTAAGGTGAAAAGTTTATTTCGCTACCGTCATATAGGCGTAAAATTTTCTTTTTTTACTGTTTATTACTTTTCTGTTGTACAATAGTTATTGCAGTAACGAAATGTCCAAGCCACATATTTTGATTAAGGTGTAGAGTTTGTAGTTATAGTTAGGGTTAGAAGCTTGATTCTACATCAGATTTGATAATTTTTTTACGGTGCGCTCGTCGTATGGGATCGTCTTCGCAACATTTTACATAAAAATGTTTTAGTGGGTTAAATATAAAAGGAAATTTAACCGTCTATAGACGGGATAAAGGAAATAGTAAATTGGGTAAAGGAAAATAAGCGGGCCAAGGGAACTAGGATTAGTGTTTTTTTTCCCAAATTTATTTGTATTTAGGTCGTTAGTAGTTAGTTTCTACTTACGTTCTCCTTCATTATTCCACATCCTGTTCCACGCAGTCCTTTATTTATTGCATTTACTTAAAAAATAATTTTGGGTTTATCTTTTATGAACGGCCACCTGCCTGAACCGGGATCGTCATCATTATCAACAGCCTTTAACAGTCCATTGCTGGACATAGGTCTCTCCTTAGAAAGGAGGTTCGAACCGGGATACCGGGTATCGGGATAAGTAATGAAAGTGAGAGCTTGCCAGCAATAGTCAACTTTGATCTATTTGAGTTATTACTTATGCTACTCATTATTCCCCATGAACAATATCACTTAAGATGTTACGTCAGTAGTGCTAACAAGACAGTGCTAATTAAGAAACGTACTGCAAAATGAATAGATACATAAAACTGCTAATTTGTGTGTGTATGTGTGTGTGTTAAGTCAGTATAAAAATGAATTTATTCTTAAAAAATACTAAACCATTAAGCAATAATTTCGAACATAGTAAGAAGTAGTACATAATTGCAAAATATACCTACTTAAGACATGAAAGCGTAACAAACAAATAAACGGACAAACAAACACTCATTCTCATTTTTAACGTTAAACTTAGAATCAATGATTCAAGTACTGTAACACTACTTATTACGCCGTTGAACACATCCTTTTAATTTTATTCTAGTTACTTCTACAAAAAGTAACAACAAAAATTTTGCTCCTGGATTGAACAGTGTTTTAGTATGGTGGCTAAGTGGTTTGTAAGTAAGGATACTCAATTTCGATAAAGAATTTGCGGTTACGTGGCTTCCCCTCAAAACATTTTGGCCTTTTTGGTTATTCGACAGATCATGTTAAAGTGGGTGGTTTCATCAATGGGTCTCTCTCAGATACTCAGATACTCTCAGGACTGCACGGTTGACGTAGTGGTTTAAGCGATCGCCTCGCCGCTTTCTACTGCGCTGAGTATTGTGGGTTCGATCCCCACGTGGGACAACGTCGTCTCTGATGCCATGGGCCACGGGTCGTGAAGGGCTAGGTCGCCCACCAATGCCAACACCAGCGCTCGCGCTAGTCAAAGACAGTGCGGGCCTCCACTGCACTGCAGCCAAAACAAAATAGTGATCAGATATTTTATAAGTTATTACTGCCGAAGGAATTACTGTTTGTGTGAATGTATGTATGAATGTTTATGTTTATATTTATTAATTCTCTTTTTTTCTACGCTTTGCTTCTTTTGTAAACGGAGATGGGTGGCGGCCCGAGGGGGCCAGAGAGAGAACCCTAAAATAAACCAGTCATTGAGGTGACTGAAACCAAAAAGGCAGCAAAAGATGATGATGGCGAATGGTATCTTAAGTAAAGAAAATGAAAAAAAATAGATAAATCAAAATACAAAAACAATTTAATAAAAAAATATGTATTTAAAAAAATAATATTAGTACAATTATCTACAAAATAAAACATTACAAATAAATAAATATGATAGATTTTATTTTAAAATAAATCAAATTGAGCAACTATGTTAATTTATTTTATAAAAATATTAAATAAATAAAAACTAATGTCCTAGTGACTCGGTGTTTAAAACTAGAGAAATAAATTATTAATAAATTAATATTTGACTGACTTCAAGTGATTCACTGAATGAAAACAATTGTTTAAAATGTTTTTATTTTGTCATGGCTATCGTAATAAAGAATTAAGACGATATAATGTGTAACGTTTATAACAATTTTGAGCCAATTTTAAAACAAAAATAAGTACAATTTTAAGTCATTCGCACCTGTCAATAAGGACACTTATTAAAACAAAAATATCTAATTCTTCGAATCTACTATTTTTATATCTGATATATTTAATTTGTGTGTTGTTCGAGCAGTTAAAGAAACTTTTTTACTTGATTAAAAAAAACAGAAATATATACATTTCAAACATCAGGAGATGATAGCAAGTTACATTTTTTTTGTTTTTAAATGCTCAACTTATTTGATAAATTGTAGCTGATGAGTATAGCTACTGAATTCTCACGTGAATCTAATCAAAATCAGTCGCTACAGAGTAAATGCTAAAAATAAATAATGTTTCGCTACTATTAACTATGTTTTGGACGTAGCTGTCAACTAACCTCTCAGTAAATGCAAGACAAAGGAAAATCACTTACGTACAAAGAAAAAAAATGGCTCATTTTTTTTTAAATAAAATAAAATTATAGAAAATAAATTTTAACCACAATTTTTGAATTATAAATTTTGAAATAATAAAGAAGTTTAAATGCCAAAACCTACATTTTTATTATAAAGATTATCAATCTCTCTACAAAATAAATAAATGTTTTATGTTAAAAATAAAGTATAATTGGACTGTGCTTAGTCTGGCCATCGTGGTATAGTAGGCCAAAACCTCCTTTCTAAGGAGAGGCCTATGTCCCGTAGTGGACTATGAAAGGCCGTTGATGATTGATTAGTCAAGGTCAAACTGACTGGTACTCGTAGTATAAAAAAAACATCAAATTTTGTTATCTATTTAACAATTGTTTTTTTTTATGTTAGAGGGGGCAGACGAGCAGACCTGATGAAAAGTGACTATCGCCGCCCATGAACGTCTGCAACTCAGGAGTCACAAACGCGTTGCCGGACTTTTGGGAAGGAGTACGCTCTTCTCTTGAAAGTTTGAAGGTCTTATCGGTGTTGCTTGCTTGTCTGAAAGCTGGGTTTGTCTGATGAGGTTTGACTGATGAGGAACTTCTATACATGTTACTTTATTTATTTACTTTCGGCTATGATCCACAAAGAATGATATTCATTGAATTCTATTGAACGTAGTAAGGATAATGGAGAAATCTACTTGTAAACATTTTTTTTTGACACCTTTGCCAGTTGGTGCGCCTGACCATTAGCGCTTACCCAAAATACACACGTGAGTAGTTTTACACGATCGATCTTTAAAAATAGAATACCACTTACGAGATATCAATGTAACGTCTGTAGATCTTTAGAATAAAGTGTTTAATTTAAATTTAGAAATAGAATTTAGCCAGTTCACTTTCTTTTTTTATCACTGAAGTCTATGTCACAGTTTGGATATTGTGTAGAACAGTCTTTTTGCTCTTGACCATCGCGGGCAGCTTGAACATATCTGTAATAGTATACAGCCATCTTACTGTCTCCAGCAGGCAAAAGCTCATTGGAGTCCCTGTAATAGACAATTAGATTTATTAGAACCAAATTACTCAAGAATATATCTTACATAAATAAAACATATTCACTGCTTAGTCGTTTAATGATAAGTAACCTATATGAAATTTATTTTTGAAAAAAAAAGTGCCTTAAAATATTACACCAGCAATGACATGTGGCACTGCGTCATTTAATGAAATGAGCCTAAACTTAGTGAGTCCTGGTTACTTGATGGAATAAATGAATTATTATTATTATTAGGCTCATTTCATTAAATGACGTGGACGACTAAGAAGAAGATTATTTTCTTTGAAAGTTATTACTATTACCAGACTGGTAATGGTAATAACTGAAGTGAAGGTAATGATACAGTATAATTGCCAGCGTTGAAAATCACTGTACTGGTTATGATTGTTGAAACAATTTACCCGAAGTAGATATTATGAGTGATTATAAAGCCATTGTTTGATTGGTAATGAGCCAAGAAGTGCCATTTTACCGCTGTTATAAAAAAAACATCTATAAATTGACATTAATTAATTAATTACGCTAGGACAGCTAAAGGATTTTGAATAAAATTTGTCAATACGCGCAGACGGGTCACTGAGACACTTGCAAATCAATAGTCACAAATGCGTTTGGGATTCCCCCCATCATCGGGAAGAGGGTTTGGGTCTCCGATAGCCCCAGTTACTCGGTGAAAAACAACGAAAATATTGCTGGACATCGGTTTCCTATTAGAGCCTGGTTTTCCAAAAATAATTTCCAAAAATTCGTTGGCATTGTGACTGGTATCAGTCTTTTTCTAAGAGCTTGCATTGACAAAGGTTACCAAAGCGTAAAATAATAACTTACTTGCTAAGATGTCCTGACACTAAGTTACTGAACGGCGTGTGCTTAAAAGGATCTCCGTACATTGCACAAACAGCTCGTTCTCTACAGCCGGGTTCCGTGGCTCCCATCTGTGCCAGCAGTCCATCTACTGTTTCTATTAGTTGGCCGTAGAACTTCTCTGCGGCTATAGTTTCCTATAAATGAACACATGTCAACTGGTCTGTTATTATTTCGTGTATTTTTTTTTATTCCAGTGTTTTGGAAGGAGCTTTTGCCCACATGGGCACGCCAGATCTATTGTACCTTATACTAACTTAGTGTCTATTATATATACAATTCAATCAACTTATGAAGGAGAATCATTAAAAGGCACCAATACTAAACTACTCAATTTTTGGCCCACTTCAGTTTTTGGGTTTGCTAAAATTCTCTGTGTTAGTCCAACGTGTAATTTATTCAAATTGAATTCCTTCAGTAACGATTCTCTTTCCATTTTGATCCTGACATATTCCATTTCGTGTATTTTAAATTTAATGTTGTTAAATAGATAATGAAGATTTCTAGCCAAAATCGGAACTATTTTTGTAAAATTAAATAAACGTTTTTAAGAAAATGAAGAGAAGAAACTTTTAAAACAGTGCGCCATGGACCACGGACCGCTACGATGACTGTTGACATAACATACAAGTTGTCTCATAATCATTATTTTCATTCTTAAAACAGTCCTGTTGTTCTATAATTATGTTTACTGTCAGTTGGTCTGGGACCACGGCCAGTGCGACCTTGTCGAATCTTCAGGCGTTTCTTGAGCGCGTTAATTGCCGTAGACATAATTACCTATATATTATGGAACGCGATAGTTTAACTGTTCTATTTCTAAAACTGATATGGATTTAAGCGTTAGATTTATGCTGCAGAAGAGATCAGCTCGACTATAAAATTCAGAAATAAACAAACCTGCAAATTAGAATTATTTTACGACGCTTAGTATGGGTATGTTATCAATTATAGATAAACCAATGAGCTACAAGGAGATAAATAAACCTAACGCAACTGCATCAAAAGTAATTAGTATTTAAAAAAAATCGGTGTTAGTGACAAACCTATGACATGTTTCTATTGTTAGAGCATTGAATTTTGTACATTCGTGTATTTAGATGATACCATGATGGCTACGAAAATTCTTAAGGGCCAAATGAATCGTGATTAATCCATAATACCTTATTCTATTAAATTAAATACCATTTTCCAACTTACAGGATCATTTGCAGCCAATATTTGTTGTTGCTGCTTCACCAAATCAGTTTCTGTTTTTATCCTGTTAGCCTCTTTTAGCTTGACTGCTGAAACTCTTAAAATCTCATCTCTGACCGGAGAAGGTGGTGCTCTAGCTGCTAATGCTGCTGCACGTATCTGAAAAATAATAGTAATGTATTGTCTAACCGTCTACATATCATCATTCTGACCATCAACCTCAACTTGTTTAATAGTAGTATCCAAAGTTTGGTGGGTTCCTCTTACAACCACCAGTTTGTTTTTGTTGTAGGGATGCTCATGGACTTCTGCAATTCAAAAGCCACAAGTGTTTTGCTGCCCTTTGAGTCTCACTCCCTAGAATCAAGGGAGGGAGAAGAGGTTTCCACTTCCACTAAGTTTTTTTTATCTGTTGTGTTTTTTTTATCGTTATGACTGTTATCTTGACCTGTTAAGCATATTTACACAGTTTGCTTATGACCTTCCCCTTTAAAGCTATTTTTGAAGGCATCAGTTTGGAATTTTACACAATTTGTCACTTTTACTATTAAGAAAATTCAAATGACACCTTACAAACCGTTCAGGGGCTCAGGCATGAGAAAACACTGACAACATATGGGTAAAAGATTTTAGATGTTAATGTGAGTTTGATTACAAGATATCAAAAATCTAACTACTTCACTTGTCAGAAGAATACACAGAAAAAACGTAGCGAACCCATTTTTGATCGCGAAAAAGTATAGTTTATGAGTCATACCCATCTTGATTGACCAAATCTCAATTAGCGCAATCAGAGCCGCGTGTAACAACCAGTAAGCAGTTTCACCAATAATAATGATCAGGCAATTTAGTTCCGTATAAAGAACTTGTACAGATTGGGGTCGCCCTAGAACTTGTGCTAACTAAAACCTGTTCTAATGTTGACCACGAGAATGAACTACCTATGCGGATAAATGTAAAGAGTTTTATGATTATTGATTATATTATTAACAAATTTCAATAAAGCTATGAAACCAAAGTGACTTATACTTAAGTTTACATTTAAGAGGTTTTCTCTATTGGTTAATCGGGATCAAAATAATAGAACTCATTTCAAAGAATAAAGTATTTTTTAAATACCGATAAGTAACGTCAAGTACTGTCCGTGTGGTGACGGATTAAGAATACAATGTCACCACCCCTATACATCCCGTGGGTGTCGTAAGAGGCGACTAAGGGAGCAAACTACGCAGGACAATAGCATTGCAGAGAAAAGGAAAATTTGAAACAATCCCTATACCAACCCGTCTGGCCAGCGTCGTATAGTAGGCCAAAACTTCCTTTCTAAGGAGAGGCCTATGTCCAGCAGTGGTCTAGTAAAGGACTAGTAAAGGCTGTTGATGATTGATGAACGCCAAGTGTCATCAATCTTACACCTGCACATTTTATTTAATTTTACTATTTTTAAATACTCACCAACGCTTCTTTTTCAGCTTGATAGGGATCTTTTGTTGTCGTTTTCTTGTTTCGGTAGTATGGATTCAAGGGCGGCCCGACAGGTCTGGAAAAATAATTTTATAGTCAGTATTTAACGTCAATTTCATGCTGTGAAAGGACTTAACCCTTTTGACAACACCTAGTAGAATTGCAGCAGAGTTATTAAGGAAGGACCATACAGAATTTTCAAGAATATCAGACATTATTATATTGATTTATAATTATAAACAACGTCGTACCACAAAATACCACTCTGTTTCTAAGTATTACGTAAACTTTCACGCTTCGTATGTTAATTATTATAGTGTTATTGTTATGTTATATCTCTGAGTTGTCTGAAGTTTCGTACAGGTACGTCAGTGGCGAGTACAGATTGTCCGCAATATGCTATTAATCGCGTTAATACCCGTACTGAAATCAATATATATTTAAAACAAAGTCGTTTTAGTTACAGCCTTTATAACTGAAGAACGGCTGAACCAATTTGTGTATAAATATAATATATGTTATATGTGTTTTTGGATCTGTCTTCGTCCGGAATAAGCATTAAAATACTATATTTATTAATAAAAAAAACATCAGTCAAAAAATGAGTCTAGCAGTTCATTTGTTATAAATAGTATTACAAAATGCAACTGACAGCTCACTAAACTCTGAGCTGAACTTAATAATAGTCCTAAATCTGCTAATTCATTGACTGTTAAGCGAAACGAAGTTCGAACTCGAAAGGTACAATACAAGCACTGTATAACTGTAGATTTAAAAGAGTTAACCTTTATAAGAGTATCAAATGTCGTTATCACTTTGGTTGTTGATCTAGAGCTGTACAATCCATACAATTTGTAAAACAGTTTATTTGCTAACAGAAAAGGTGTAAGTTCTAGCAATGCGATATGTATGTCAAATAGAAGTCTTTTCTTAACAGTAGGGTACAGCTCCAAATGTATTCTAGAAATTCTAAGAAATTGATTATTTGTACCGTTTAATATGATTTAAAGCTATGGTGCTAAATCTGTTGTTCGAAAACTCTCTAAACTAAACTAAAAATCTTTAAAAAACAGTTTAGTCCTGTCAAATACTACTTTTTTTTTATTAAAGCTATATATTTTGACTGAGGAGCTTGTGAAGTTAGGGCGTGTAGAGTTAGAAGTTTGGCTCTACATGAGATCTAATAACTTTTTAACAGTGCGAGCCCTATGGTCTCGCCTTGGCAACATTTTACATGAAAATGTTTTTGCTTGGATTATTAATATTCAAAAGTCATGGGTTATAGCTATCTTCAAAGAATATCTTCCCTTCTTTTTATATTAAAAGAAACATCCCACAGTTTTTCTCACAATTATTTCCATCACGTTCACCATACTTTTTATGAGTATAATCATCCATGCCCAAAGCTCATATCTTCATATAAATCACATACATTATATCCCTTATAAGTATTTTTAAGATACACTTATGATACCTTAATCTAAACTATGAGAGTCGCGTAGTAATAATAATATTATCTCACACGCGGCAGTCTGATCCCAAACTAGGCAGAGCCTGTGCTATGGTAACCAGACTGCTGATAAACATACTTATATAGATTTAAATACATACATATTATAGATAATTTACACCAAGACACAAAACAAGTGACCGTGCTCATCACACAATATTTGTCCTGGATGGGAAACGAACCCACGACCTCCGGCTTAGCAGACAGGATCACTAACCACTAGACCAACAGGCCCGTCAAAAAGTAGTATATGTATGGCAAAATATCAAATTATAAATTTATCCAATGTATCAATATCTCTCTTCCACTATCATCCCACTACAGTATGAGTTGCTTAAAGCAAGCAAGCAACTAATAAAATACCCTTTACAATTTCACCGATCTGCTCGTAAAAGTTTCGGATAAATCGCTTCATCATTATATCTTGAAAATTAAACAAACAATGAAACAGGCAAACATTTTTTTTTTGACAAATATATAGACAAATATATTTATGTATCGAAATACAAATACTCTCTTTTGCAGTTGGGTAAAAATACATAACAGTGATTCCTTACCTTCCCGCATTGCCTTGCACAGCTATTCGTTGAGGTATATTAGTATTAGCAGCCACTCCAAGTTGTATGCTGTTGCTTGCTGGGTATTCACCGGAGTGATGATCATCTGGATATCCATCTGGTCCTGTTAAAGTGTTCAACGTTCAGAAGCTTATATTTTAGCCTGGTATGGGGACTCAATCGTGGTATAATGACATTTTAATTTTTTACTGATGTGGACTGAATGATAACCAATTAGAATAGATTACTATATATTTCGGACTTTACATCCGGCTATCCGGATATGCGTATATTCGGATGTCCGTATCACAGGTGGATCACAAGTTCAACACTTTAGCCATTAAGGTTCGATGACGCGATAGGTATATCTGCTTACCTGGTGGCAGGCCTAATCCCCAGGCGTTTATATCCTGCATATCGTTCTGTGTCGGCTTGAAGTTGGCTATCGCGTTGCGGTGAATGTCTCCTATGATGAAACTAGGGAAAATATAAACAAAAATAATGGGTTTTCACATCTCACACACGGCCGTCTGATCCTAAACAGAGTCTGAACTAAGGTAACATACTTTCTGAACACATATATATTGCATATACAATAAATCATTGTGTTCTTCAAAGATTTAATTCTACTGATGACGATCGGATGGTGTAGTGGTTTGTGTAACGGACTGCTATTCCAAAGCAGGGGGTTTCGAAATTTGATTCGAAATCGCGGGTTCGATTTCCGCTCAAGTCAAACATTTGTGTGCATGAACATTTAATGTTTGATTTGGTCTTGGTGTTTCTATGTATAAGTATGTATTTACAAAAAAAAGTATAAATGTATTTATATCAGTTGTCTAGTACCCATAGTACAAGCTCTGCTTAGTTCGGGACTAGATGGCGTTGTGTGACTGTGGTACAATATTATTATTATTTTCTTTTTATTATTACTAGGTGGGAATCGAAACTTAGCAGTCAGGATCGACCAGGTTGCACGGAGCCGTAGTCACAGGCGATGGCGTTAATTCCCGTCCTGATATATATATTTATACAACAACAGTCAGTTTCATAATAATCCAGCTGCATGGAGAATCCACCCGAAGGGGGTGTGCGCCCTATTACGGCAAACGATAGGAGGGGTCCAGATGTCTTAATAACAGCTGTTCCCGGATTCCTCCTATTTCAGGCGCAGAGTTGCACACCATGTGTTTTTAGTTGGTTCGATTCCGACATACCGCCCCGCAACAAACTCCGGTGGGGTTACGGCCCATGGGGGTTTCCACACTCAAAAACATATTTATTTGTTAAAGATCTGTTTCTACTCACGTCGATGGCCGGTTAGGACTAGTTAGGACCAAATAGCCGGGGACCCTTATCGTACTTTACTGTACTTACAGAAATAAATATCATTTATGAGTTATCACCGTTGCAACAGGACGATTCAGTCCTTCGAAAAAGACGCTCTGTTTGGCCCGGACTAGTCCGGTGTCCTTTGAAACTTTCCTAATACATACGTAAAGTATTCACCACCATATTTATATAATTATTCGGCTCATTACAAAACTACTAAGATTTTGTTTGTATCAGTAAATAGCGCCCGCTTTATATACATATATATAGGAATATAATTTATAGGCTACAGTAGCTTCATATTAGTCAAAGAATTTTCAGAATCCGTTCAGTAGTAGAAATAAATTTTACCTCTAATTATATTAGTATTGATTTGTACTCACTCAGTACCGAGTCCTGCCCCAGACAGCGCAAAGTTGTCATGACTGTAGTGGTCTGAGGTTGGCGGTGGACCAAGATGGTGCGGTCGAACTACTACGGAAGATGCGTGGCCTGATGGAGGTCCATACGGCTGGTGATGTGGATTCTATAAATCAAATTATTTTCTATTTTACACTTGTCATACGAACTTTGGTATAACCTGTTCATTGTGTCCAACAAAGTTTTCGATGGCATTTTACATTCTAAATCTAACGTAGCCATGCTGATGAAATGGACCGGCGTCACTGAAATAATATCACCGCCTAACAGAAAACCGACGTTTTATTACTTTTCAAGGGGTGAGTGAGGTTAACGAAGGTCCAAACTCCCTTCTTCCTAATTCCTGGGACGTTGCAGGTGTTCATGGGTGGCGGTAGTCACCATCAGGTAACCCGTCTGCTCGTTTGTCCATGAGAGCAGAAAACAAATTGTTAAAAGGGCAGGAGAACGACAAAGATCCCCTGCAAAACAAAGAAAAAGTTTGAATTGTCAATACATATATTTGCAAACACAATTTGCTTGAGTATATAATCTGCTAATATGATTATTTAGACCGAACAATTAGTCTAATTTTAATTTAATACTTTATTCATCACTTCGATTTAAAGTTTTCTCTTATTTCATATAGTAATACAAATTTAATAAAACCCAATACATTCTCAATAATATAAGAGTCCGCCGTTGACGACCGTACAAATGTAAATTGAGTTACAGTCGTCAGCGGTTCCACCCTGAGTAACTAAATTCATAATTATAGTCAACTACTACCAATTTATAAATGCAATATGTTGTAGAGAAATTATTTTGTAAAGTTAAAGAATAACAAAAGTAAAAAAACCGGTCAGGTACGAGTCGAACTCGTGCGCCGAGGGTTCCGTACCTACCCAGATTTTACGTAGATTTTCGCGAAAATTCGTAAGTTGTAAGTACTGTCAAGTTTTCGCGAAAATCGAAATTTGCCAATATATTTTTATCGTGTTGACTCAGTACCTTGATTTTTATACACCTAATAGGGACCATACCGCGTTTGTTATAATAACAAACGCGGGTAACACCGCGGGTCTCAGCTAGTCTGTTATAAATTTCAACTTGCTAGGTTTACCCGTTCCTGAGAAAATCGGTTCTGACACACGGACAGACGGACAAGAAAGCGATCTTATAAGGGTTCCTTTCTTACCTTTTGAGGTACGGAACCCTAAAAAGATAATAATAATAAATAAGTATAAATTTATTAATAATATTTGATTCAGTTAATTAAAATATACAACTATTGGATTAAATTCATTAACATAAATAAATAACAACAATCTCCTTATTGGCAACTAGCGGGGGTTTACATACTTACATGTGTGCGTGCCTGCGCGCATCTGTGTATTATGTGTGAGTGTATAAGACCGTGTGTGGGTGTGTGTGTGTGTGAATGTGTGGGTGTGATTCACGATTTTTTATAGTCTCGTTATTAATCAAGTCTTGAGGCTTGTGAACTAATATGCCATTGTTCTTTTACACCATGCACAATTTAAAACTAGTGACGGAAACGGTCGATATCTAAAGTAATCTTAACTTATTCATTATTATTATTCATCATTACGATATTCACTATTTATGATTTATCATCAAGATCATGCACAATGCAATTTTATATGTCATCGTGGACAAAACTTTTATTGTAAATATTCCCCTCTTTTTAAGGACCTACGACAATTTAAGTATCTTTTGTTACGATACATCTGATAAGCAAAGGGTAAGGAGCATTAGAAGTTACAAAAATAATGTTTTTGTGTGAAAATGTATAATTATTTCAAACAAAAATGATGATATTTAATACGATGGAATTTTGTTACAATGCTTCGTTAAAAGTGAAAACGCAAAGCGTGTCTCACGCAGTTCTATAATTGGTTGAAATCACACAATTTCGATTAAAAAAAGACAGCAGAAAATGTCAATAATGCATGTTGAAAAATCATTTCTGTTCTTACAATATTTTTCATTGCTGCTTAGCTCCTGTTGGTTGTAGCGTGAGGTTATATAGCCTTTCTCGTTAAATGAGCTATCCAACGCTTAAAGATTTTTGCTTAACTAAGAACTTGAAGAACAATATTGGTTATCAGAAAATCAAAAATATTGATCTTTAATGATATTTTTTCATTAAAACTCGATTTTCCTGGAACTTCTTCTAAAGCTTAATAGATTAAAATATATATAAACAAACCTTGTGATGATGAGTGATCAAATGATGGTGATGATGGAACTTCGTCGTGTGATAATTCTGGTGGTACCACGAGCATAGTTTGAAGATATGGCTGAGTGCAGGGAACAGGAATAAGAGGAACTTTAGGAACATCTTCTTGGCAGTGGTGACACCCATGATGATAGGCAGTACGAAGACTAATTTCAAAGCTATGAGTTTGACGACTAATATTATTGCTATGGCCGCTGTTATCAGTTTCTTCTTTAGGTATTTTTCTGAAAAAAAAAACACTTACATTGTACACATGCAAGTAAGAGTCCGTGTGATGACGGATTAAGAATACAGGGTGTCACCACCCCTATTCATCCCGTGGGTGTCGTACGAGGCGACTAAGGAAGCAAACTACGCAGGACGACAGCGCTGCAGAGAGAAGGAAAACTTGAAACAAACCCTATACCAACCCGTCTGGCCAGTGTGGTATAGTAGGCCAAAACCTCCTTTCTAAGGAGAGGCCTATGTCCAGCAGTGGACTAGTAAAGGCTGTTGATGAAGTAAGAGAGTTTGGCTTCCCGACAGTAGTTCAATTTAGAGGGATGCGAACCTCACCTACGTGATTTATTGGTCACACCACCAACTCACTCGTATAACCTATATTCCTATGCCAGCACCCAGTAAAATAACCAGTTTCCCAATGCTTTTCCTTCTCATTTAGCTTTCCAATATAGAGAAGGCAATTCAATAAAAAAATGCCAAATAAGTTTCAGATATCTTTAAATATTTAATCATGAACACACTATTAACGGATGTGTAAGTTAAAAAGCCTATAAGAATAGGGTTTTTTATTTATATTAGTGGTAAAAAGACATATTAGGATTTTTTCTATATGTGACTTCACACTGGTTTTAAACTAGCTGAGCTAGATTTTGGTAATCGATGAATTATTCTTCGGCATCGGTTTCCTTGTTAATATTTGCGCAAAATTTCTAGATAATCGGTCGAATAGTTAAAGTACGTTTTCAACGTAACAAACAAACAATGAGGTAAATCATACAGTTCATTACTCACAACAAAAGGAATTATAACCAAAATACTTACTAATTTTGTGAAAAAACAATCTTCCATTTTCTTGCATCTCCTTCGGTTCCAGCTCGATGTGGACGAGTGCTCCAGTTTTCGTCAGGGCTCTGGGAGATATCTTGAGAGTGGAACCTTGAAAGAAGGTCTCTGGTAGGGTCACCTTCATATCGTGGGTCACCAGGAACTTCACGCTCTTGTCGTACAGAGCATCGGTTACCTCTTCTAGAGGAGATTCTGAAACAATATTTATGGTTAAAATTTCGCCACTGGTTCTGTTACACGATTATCTTATATATAAAATTCTCGTGTCACAATGTTAGTGACCATACTCCTCCGAAACGGCTGGACCGATTTTTATGAAATTTTGTGTGCACATCGGGTAGGTCTGAGAATCGGCCAACATCTATTTTTGAAACCCCTACATGACAAGGGTGACCCACCCCTATTTTTTATATATTTCCTAGTAATAATGTATATGGCAAAACAACGATTTCCGGGTCAGCTAGTATTATACAAAAATTCAAGTTGATATAAAAAAGTTAGGACAAACATTTCTCATGTCATTTTATACTTTTAAATTTTATTTTTATTTCAATTGCTAAGTAAAAAAGTTTGAAATCATGCTTCGGGTAATATTGTGATATATCAAATTTATACATTTTGTGAAATAAATGCTTATTACGTTACATAATTATTTAAATTGAGTGGAATTTGTTGTTGGAGTGGTTAGTGATTTTGACTGCTATGCCAGAGTTTGGAGGTTCAATTCCCACCGTGAAGAATGACAAAAAAGGTTTTCTCGTAGTAAAGTACTCAGACTAGCGAAATACCGATTCACCTTTCAGTCACAATACGATGTCTTTGTCATTTCATTTTTTTTAAAAGACAAGTCACTAGGAATATATTATCCTGTGTCGCGGGGGACTTTACAAACATACATGAAACGGACACAAAGAACACCCAGACTCAGAACAACAATTTGTGGATCACACAAAGTGTCGTCCCATGTGGGGTTTGAACCCACAACAGTTGCCGTAGTAGGAAGCGGCGTGGCGACCGCTTAAACCACAACAACATCCATGCAGTCAATGTAATCACCAAGTCGATGTAATCTCATTACAATCAACGTTGGATGTTTTTTTTTTGCCCATACACACAACGCCATCTAGTCCCAAACTAAGCAGAGCTTGTACTATGGGTACTAGACAACTGATATAAATACATATATACTTTTTTTGTAAATACATAAATATTATACATAGAAACACCCAGACCTACTCAAACATTAAATGTTCATGCACACAAATGTTTGACTTGAGCGGGAATCGAACCCGCGACCTTTGGAATAGCAGTCCGTTACGCAAACCACTACGCCATTCGGTCGTTTAATACTTTACTTACTATGAGAATATCTTTTATGACTTTTGTGAGATAGGGAGTTTATGGGAAGTAAATTTTGAACGAATTTCTATTACGAGAATTGACCTTAATTACTTACAAATATTGTATTTGAGTGTAATTTATGTAAATTATTTAATATGGTTCCAAGACAGTTTAATTTCTTCCTGGGACTTCCCGAGTGTCATAACTCGGTGTGTTCGTGGGTCACTGCTGTGGATCCTGGTGTACAGGAGTTACAGTGGTGGGCGTGTGGGCGGGATTAGTCCCAAAAAAATAATTATTTAATATGTATTTAGAAACTTATAAGTATAGTTATCAGTAGTCTTGTTACTAGAGCACACGTTCTGCCTAGTTTACGATCAGACTGTCGTGTGTGAGATGTGTAAAGTTATTATTTTTGTAATTAAAAACAAATATCTTGAAAGGATAAGACAAGGTCATTATGTCATTATACTATCGCAAGAGTTATCTTTTAACTCCTAAAGGTCAAGGACCCTTTCATCATCATCTCAGCAATATGACATAACTAGCAAACTCAAACCCCTGTATAGCTAGAGAAAAACGCTAAAACTCGTTGTCGTTGCGGTAAAGTATGAGGGTTTCCCTCGATTTCTCTGGGATCCCATAAGCAGATCCTGATTTGGTGATAATTAGACCACCTCGAGATTATATTGTTTCAATTATAAAAATAATTATGAAAATAGCTCCAGAATTGACGGAGAAATCCCGGAAACATACAAAAGAAAATTGTGTTTTTGAAGTCAGTTAAAAATTGATCAACAAAATCAATCGCGTAAATAAGCGAGTTCAGCCGTGAGTAAAACAAATTTTTACCTTCATATATTCATAATTATATGGGCATAACATAGACAACTTCTAAACTAAGACTAAGACTGCACGGATGGCGTAGTGGTTTCAGTGGTCGCCACGCCGCTCCGTACTACGCCGAGTGTTGTGGGTTCAAACCCCACATGGGACGACACATTGTGTGATCCACAAATTGTTGTTCTAAGTCTGGGTGTTCTTTGTGTCCGTTTCATGTATGTTTGTAAAGTCCCCCGCGACACAGAAATTTATTCCTAATACGGGCGTTGTCTTTTTTAAGAAGAAATAAACTCAAGTTAATCATTTAATTAAACTGTAAGTTAGATTCTTCAACGAGTGAATAGTTCACACACTGTTAACACAGTAACAAGAAACGTATAGAAATCACGCTTAACATGCCATACGTTACTATAATCTAGGGAAAACCTACTGACGAACAATATCAGTTCCTGACTTTCCATTCTTCGTTATTCTTTGTATCGAATCTAGCACATTCATTTCCTATACGATATCAATTTCTTTTCGTTTGTGCTGTTTTTTATATAATGCGCATGTATACTTTCTTCCGGCGCATATGTACTCGATTATTAAATCGATTCAGGATAGTAGGTAAACTTTGTATGTGTGGTGACGGATTAAGAATACGGAATGTCACCCCCCTATTCATCTCGTGGGTGTCGTAAGAGCCGACTAAGGGAACAAACTACGCAGGACAACAGCACTGCAAAGAGGAGAAAAGCTTGAAACATACTCTATACCAACCCGTCTGGCCAGCGTGGTATATTAGGCCAAACCCTCCTTTTTAAAGAGAGGCCTATGTCCAGCAGTGGATTAGTAAAGGCTGTTGATGAAGTAAAAATTTATAGCTTGATATATTCACGACTTAAAAATATAGAAATTATAATTTGATCCTTAATTCACATTCTTAATTTATCTCTGTTTGATGTAGGCTAAGTCAACTCAATCACCAGCTTCTAGTTGTTTAATGGAATAAGTGTCAAACGAGAATATGGGTCACCTGATGCTAAGTGACCGCCGCCCATGAACACCTGCACGTCAAGGGACTAAAGCGTGTGTGTAAGTAAGTTTTGAGTTAAAGGTCACTTCTCCGGTAACTTCACTGACTCGGTGAGAATTACTTAACACCGGTTTTCTGTGACGTCGTGTTATTACTCCGGCTGAGTCGGCCCTTACATGCCGCAGCGTGACTTCTCGTTACTTATTCCATACTTAAATATCTCACAAACTTCGTCAAGGTTACTAAGGAAACTTTCACTAAGGTAAACTTCGTAGACTTAGACTTTTTTTGGAACAGCTCTTTCTTCAGAACATCACCAATTCAATTAGAGTATATTCTACGCGGTCAACTGACTTCCCCTTCACTAAATTAGTGATAGTAAGGCTATGTCAAAATTATAAAAAAAAACAGATGAGTGCAAGTCTAATTCGCGCGGTTCTTTACATACTTATATGTAGACAGTTCGATAATCCTTTTTGTCGTGTTGTTTGTTTTTCTTACGACAAACTTAATACTGCCCTGCGATGAATATTCTTTAGATAGATAGATTCACAGAATACGGAGTGTCACCATCCCTATTTGTCCTGTGGGCGTAAGAGCTGACTAAGGGAGCAAAAAGAAGAAAAACTTGATACAACTCCCATACTCAACCGTCTGGCCAGCGTGGTATAGTAGGCCAAAACCCCCTTTCTCACAAGAGGCCTATGTACAGCAATGGACTATTAAAGGCTGTTAATGATAATGAGGATGATGAGCTTAAAACTTAATTTTTATGGCTTTTAGCGGTCACATACAAAAGTATTTAATGTAAATTTCAACTTATTCATGCGCTCCTCGCATAAAGAAGGAAGACAGACAAAAAAATGTTTTTATTGGAAATCCTGTTTGTTTGAGGAACGGAACCCTAAACGAGAACTTGTAGAGAAACAGAAAAGAAAACAATATGGCGCACTATTTATATATGTATATATACTGTACTCAAAATTATGGTAATTTGAATATCATTATACACGCACATATACCTATAATTAACGTTTCTATTATAGCACACGCAGATGTTAATGTTACTCTTAAGATTTTGGTAAAAGCATAAAGTAGATTGCAGATAATAAGCTAATTATGTACAAATAAGATTCGTGTTCAGCTCAAATTTGTACTTTATTTGACCTTCTATTAGAACACCTAATTGTTTTATTTATAGACGCGATATACGCTCTTTGAACCCTTCCCCCTCACCTTTTTAATGGGACTAATCCCTTCCCACCACTGTAACTCCTGTACACCAGGATCAACAGCAGTGACCCACTCATACACCAAGTTATGACACTCATAAAGTCCAAGGAAAAAATTAAACTGTCATGGAATCAACGTAATTAATCAGAAGAAAATTGGAATGAAAATCAATTGCATTGAAAATCTTTCTTCCTGAAATAGAGGGAAGGGCTTCAAAGGGCCTCAAATTCAGGGGTTTCGATTGCAGTTACCCTTACTTAGTCGGTGACGGTGACGGTAGTTAGTAACGAAAAAATTACTTAGACAGGGTAGACACTTGGGTGAAGGCCGCCTATTTGGTCTGAGCATGGCTCCCCTACGATGAATGTTTACACAGTTTTGTCCATTTTTCGAACCTCCTCCAAAACCAAACTCCTTATCTTTTTTATTTAACGTACAACTTAAGGAAAGAAAGAAAGTTTTTTTTATTCTATTCATTAATTCATTTATTCTATAAGTGACGCTGACATATAGACTAAATAAAAAGAAATTGAACTTAACTCAACATCATCACAGCAGTAACTTAACAATTTTTTTAAATAAAATATTTTATGTTTACAAAATATCTTTACAAATCTAAACTCACACAGATAGGTAAATATTTCCCCCTTGTCTCTTGTTTTAATTTTTACATCTCTCTCTCTCTCATACATAATATGTCAACCTTTCTCTACTTAAGCCACTAAAACTTGGTTCTGGATACTTTTTACCCGACTTTTTATTAGCACACCACCAATTAGACTGGCCTGTTGGTCTAGTGCTGCTACGCCTGAGGTCGTGGGTTCGATTCCCACCCAGGACAAATAATTGTGTGATGAGCACGATCTCTTGTTCTGTGTCTGGGTGTAATTTATCTATAATATGTATGTATTTAGAAATATATGTATTTAAAAATGTTACACTAACCTTAAGTTTAAGTTAAGTCATATTTAAATACTGAGTGTGAGTTTATATCACATCTACTAGATCGTCACGGTGACAGCATTCGGCGGTGATTGGCCCGCATTGAAATCTTCACCAATCGCAACGCGGAACTCGTCGTCGAGACCGAGTTGATATGATAAAGACTCACTAGGCCCTCTGAATGTAATACTGCAATTAATGTTCTTAATTTAAAGTCATCAGTATTCGTGACTGAGCCATGCTTTGACACAACGGACGACTAGACCAGGGTGATGCAACGGCCTCATTGAAACTGGGGTTGAGCAGTCATGTCGTTGCTTTGACCTCTGATACTGGTGAGGTGACTCAAAGGACTGCCACGCACGCTGACTGTACAGTTGCAGGTGTTCATGGACAGCAGGAGTCACTTACTAAATGATGATTAGAAGTCAATTTCAATAATGCAACTGCACGGATGGCGTAGTACTTTAAGCTATTGCGCAGAGTGTTGCGGGTTCGATCCCTGCATGGGACACAATTAGAAGAAAATTAGATTGAAAATCAATTGCATTGAAAATCTTTCTTCCTGAAATAGAGAGCTTCAAAGGGCTTCGACTGCACGAATGGCGTAGTTGTTTAAGTGGTTGCCACGACTCTTCCTACTGCGCCGTGTTGTGGGTTCAAATTCCAGTGGGACGACACTTTGTGTGATCTACAAATTGTTATTCTGAATCTGTGTGTTCTTTGTGTCGGTTTCATTTATGTTTGAAAAGTCCTCAGCGACACAGGATTTCTTTCTAGTGCGGGAGTTGGCTTTCATTAAATAAAAAAAGAAAAACGAAATGTATACAAAAGCGAATTCATCAGTCACAAACATTTCTTTGTTTTTTCAAAAATGTATTTCACTTTAGACAACAAATTAGAAAATGGTCTTTGTCAAAACAAAGAATACAATTAACAAAAACTATACTTTTTTAAAAGCCCTCCGTTATTTTCGTCTTAATGGTAAACCTTAAAAATTAATGACTGGTAAATAATGAAGCATTTACATAAAGTCGTGAAAGTATGGTCAGTTTAGCAATTCTATACTTAACTACGGTATTCTCATACAATACTTTACTTTTGACGTGACAACGTCTTATAAATTGGTTTGCCGGGTGACACTTCAAGAAACTGCGTTACGCTCCGCTCACGTTATGCGCTCACAATGAGAGCGAGTGAGAAGCACGCGTCCCTTCCAATCGGGCATGGTTAGCCCGCCTAAGAGCGAGAGAGACAGACATAGTCGTTGTCACGTAAAACTTTCGCCCGTATACCGATTTTACAGGCAACCAATTTTTTTTTAGTAAAATTTACCGCCAAACGTACGTAGTAGTCTTATCTTTACATAGTATTATTGCCTCGGTGGTGCAGTGGTAGAGTATGCGACTGCTGTACTGAGGTCTCGGGTTCTCGGACCAAATGTTTGTATGATCTACAAATATTTGTTTTGGAGTTTGGGTGTTTTCTATCTATAGATAGATAGATAGATAGATAAATACTTTTTTGTACACCAATGTTTTACAGACAAAGGGCGGCCTTATCGCTTAGTGCAATTTCTTCCAGGCAACCTTTGGATGGATTCATTTTGAAATGGTGATAGGTATACCTACATAAATTAGAGAAGTAAATAAGGTCTTAACCTATATTTTTTTTTTATACATAAATACTACTAATCTATATTTATACATAAATACTATACATACATACGTTAATATATAAATACGCTAATTTTCAACTTATCAGAGACAGATAATGCTCATATAGCATAGTCTTGAAGGTGGTTACAGATTGCGCACGTCTGATAGTAACCGGCAAGGCATTCCATAAACGTACACCTTCTACGGAAAATGACTTTGTGTAGAAATTGGTAGAATGCCTTGGTATTTCCAATCTCAGGCTTTCAGAGGACCTCAGACATTTCATATGTGTGTCATGAAGGAACTTAAAGCGTTCTTTGAGGTAAATAGGAGTTAATGGATTAAACAGTATATTATACAGAAGCGCAAGGATATGAGTATTCCGGCGAAGGCGGATCGGAAGCCACCTGAGATTTTTACGGTAGTGGGAAACATGATCATATTTACAGGTGTATGTAAGTAGTAAAAAAGGTTTTTTAAGGTCTACTAGCAACCGAAATTACTAGTATTCTCGTTAAACCCTCCCGCTAAGCTAAATTGCTTGTGTTAGGAGCGGGTTCAACTCCCCCCCCCCCCCCCCCCCTAAAATAGAAGCGCAAAGAGGGCACACCGTGTGGTTTTAGTCGGTTCGAGTCCGACACACCGCC